TTCTTCTAGTTGAGCTGTGATCATCCAGTCATTGAAGCCAGGTCAAGTGTGTATTTATCTGCAAGTGTGGGTGTTCTTGTGCATATGCCCTCTCTTCTTATCAGCTAGACACTTCATTCTCTACTCTAGTTCTCTGTGGCTATGTCACTGACTCTGGGCCCAAGAGTTCCCAGGTCTTGTCACACTGCTGGCCAACCAGGTCTCTACCTGGGTTCACAGGAGTCTATTGAACGTTGTAGGGCTTAGCTCACAGCTTCATTGCTGTTTTTCCCTCACTTCCCCTTATCCATGAAGAACGTGGTCACCAATCAGAGTGTGCATTTCCATTGAGTCTAGTCTTGGAAGGGGGTTTGCTCTGAGGGGACCCGATCACTTGCCTTGATGTCTCCTGGGCAAGGAACTTGCTTGTTCGTGTAGTAATCAGTCGATCTGCCTATACTGTTTTGTATTTTTCCTGATGGTCTTTCAAGAAGTATCTTCAGTTCTCCTAGCCGCTCCAGGCTGGTCTGCCCATCCTTTCAAGTGGAAATTTCTCACCTCTTAAGATTCTGGATGCTGTTCAGGATTCCATCTGTAGTCTTATGTAATACAGAGGCTCCGCAGGAAGCCTCCTTCACTGGGCACGTTGTAGCCCCATTTTAGGTATTCCAATCAGTTATAGGCAGAAGACAGACTTACAAACTTTCTATGGTAATATTTCTGGCTATACCTTTCACTCCCCCTCCAGTGTCTATTTTATAATGGTATGAAAGGGAAACCAAGATTCAAAAGACAGCCAAGTATCTTAACATTATTTCCCCTCTTTTCTCCATTCCAATCATGTCTCAATCCCTCTATCCGAGAGCCCTGTTGTTCCAAGGTTGTGCATACATCATTCTTTACCTTTGTCTCACTTAGCCCATGCAAACCTGCCTAATTGTTCTCCCATCTGCTTTGTTCTTCCATTCCCCTCTCCCTTCTTGTATATGGACCCTTCCCCAGCACCCAAACTATCCTGTGTCTATTCCCTGCCCTGTGCTCCACCTTTCCATCCTTACCTTCACCCCACACCCCTTATCCCAGCAACCAGAAAAGAATCCCCCCCTCCTTTAGTATGGATTCTTTTTCTTAGTCTTTTACAGTAGTGGTCCT